AAAGATTTAGCACCAGACAAGATGTGCTGCCACAGAAATGGATTATCAACATCTTCCATTTTGGCAGAACTCCTTGCAAAAGTTTTTTTCCTTGCAATAGTTTTTTTTTAAATTAGTCTGGAGTGCTGGAAATAAACAACAAAAGTGCTCCAGGGAAGATGACACCTAAGGTTTAAACACAATCTTTGTGCAAAGCCTTCTCAAATGTTACCAATTATAATATTCCTAGAAATGAAGTTCAGCCCTCAGATCCACAAGCATGTCTAATCTCTACCAGCACCTATGTATGAAACTCCACAGCAACCATATGTTTTGTTGCACAACAACCTCACCTCCTGAAGGTTCACCTGAGGGTAATCTTCAGCTTGTCTCAAATTCTTGTCTAGTAGAAGGAACAATAAAAGAACTGCCAAGAGTTAAAACTCTTAACTTCTGAAAACACAGATTCTAATCCACAGGCAATGTGACGTGGAAAACTAGCAAAACAGTATGTTCTTTTTCCTTTGGACTGATGTTCCGAAGAGAATGTGGTCTGAGTGGATCAGTACAATTTGGTAAGGGAGAAACAAACATGTGATTGCTTTAATATAATCCTGGTTTGCAATCCACAGTTATCATGCCCTCACAAAATCCCTGTTCTCCAGGTATCTGCACATACTGAGAATTCCTACAGCAAGCCATTTTATCATGCTGAGAGGGGTTCAGGTGTCCTGACATTGGTAACAAGAAAGGGAGGAACAAAGAGTCTAATGGCAAGACCAACGAAGTTTTAAATGTAGTCCTCTGTTTTGGGGACAAGGAAAATACTCTACACAGCCAAGTTCACCTCCATACTAGAAAAGAGATGCACGGGGCCTAAGGATGGGATTCTCACCATTTAGGGCACATCAGTTTCCAGTTTTGACATATTTATTACCTATGTTACCCCCCCCCCCAGTTTATTTATTTATTTATTTTTAGATTTATATCCCGCCCTCCCTACGGCTCAGGGCGGCTAACATACGGCAAAAGCCGCATTAAATAGATAAAATACAATAAAACAAAACCACATTGAAACACACAATAAAACCATACAATATTTAAAGTGCTCTAGTCTTCCTACATATAACAGTTGAACCAAAACAGATGATAACCTTCCTACAGTTGAACCAAAACAGATGATAACCAGAAACCGAGCTTATCATTCTTTTGATCTGTAAAAAAAACTTCACTATTTTGTATGCTAACTTAACAAGCCACCCCATATATACAACTATGATCTGTAATTCCATTTTATTGTCTGATGAAGTGTGCATGCACACGAAAGCTCACACCTTTAATAAAACTTTGTTGGTCTTAAAGGTGCCCCACTGGACTCCAACTTTGTTCTACTGCTTCAGACCAACACGGCTGCCCATCTTGAAGAAATGGAGGAGTTAGAGCCTTCAGTCATGACACTAGAATCTACTTTCCTCATCCAGTGACAACTCTGCCCTTGACAGCCAGAGCAAAGAATCCCTCCCCACTCCTACTGCAAATTACTGAGAACTCCAAGGAGGGCTTTTCCCCTGTGCCAGTCATAAAATGATATACTCCACACCAGGCATTGAAGGAGCAAACAATGAAGGGGACTCATACTGCTCTTTTCCTGCTCCAAAGTCTGGTGCGAAGTGATAGACTGATTTTGCCTGTTTCCCTGGGCAGTCCACAAATACATGTATCTCTGTATTAGATGCATACCAAGCAGGTTTTGTTCAAAGTAGGTCATCACTAATTGATAGTCTCACTCAGATGCAAGCAACATTTTTCCAGTTGGATATGCGCTCTCCAGATGCCGTAGAAAGGTATTTTGATTTGTATTATTTGTATAGACACACACACAGAGAATTCTCATAAAACAGAATGCCCCCCAAATAACATTTCCCAGCCCTTCTAAAACTGTTAGTTCGACTGAGTGCAAATAGCCAGCCAGTGTAGCAAACCGAATTCACAACCAAGTCCAGAAGCAAACCAAAAGTTAGAAAAGAGATGACTTTGGGGGGTGGGGGTGGGATGATAGAGATTTATAAATTTATGCATGGAGTGGAGAGAGTTGACACAGAGCAATTTTTGTCCCTCTCCCAAAATACGAGAACTCAAGGACATCCAATGAAAAGATGGACAGTAGGTTCAGGACAGATGAAAGGAAATACTATTTATACAGAGAGTGATTAAAATGTGGAGTTTGCTGCCAGAGGATGTAGTGATGGCCACAAGAACAAATGGCTTTAAAAGAGAATTAGATGAATTCTTGGAGGATAAGTCTATCAATATGGCTACTAGCCATGGTGACTAAGGGGAACCTCCACATTCAGAGGCACTAAGCCTGTGAATCCCAGAGCCAGGAGGCAACATCAGAGGAAGGCTTCAGCCTCTATGCCCTGTTGTTTGCCATCCAGAGGAACTGGCTGGCCTCTGTGTGAGTCAGGATGCTGGACTGGATGGATCATTGGTCTGATCTAGCAAGGCTCTTCTTATGCGCTTAGATGAGTCATCTTACCCAGGATCTAGGAGCCAACAGGCTGGATCCAAAGAGCCATAAGCAGAACTCAACTCATGGAATGGAATGGATCTTTTCCCATTTTAGTTCAATGGCAGCACCTTACCTCTGTAATGTCCTCCAGTTGGGCTTGCCTGACATCTGCCTTATACTCCTTTAGGCACCAAGGCCTAAAAGTCTTTTTACCCAGACTTTTAAACTAAGCTACTGAATATTGTTTTATGCTATCTGATCTTGTTGAATGTTGTTTTATGCTGTTTTATGCTATTTTGATGGCTTGTCTATTTATTTCATCATCCCTAAAGGGGACCCAAAGCAGTTTAAACATTCTTCCCTTCTCCATTTTGTACTCACAACAACCCTGTGAGGCAGGTTAGACAGCATGTGTGATTGGCCCAGGGTCACCAAATAAGCTTCCATAGTAGAGTGGAGATTCTAAACTGGGTCTCCCCGATCCTAGCCTGACTACACCACACTGGTTTGTATGACTTTATTTGTACTGTTTTATTCCCGGATCAGGCCTCGGAAGAGACAGCATATACATTTACTAAATAAATACATACATACATTTTCACCTCTCTCTTCCTGTTCCAGGCATCTGCATATACCCCGAATCTGTTCTCAATGGCAGATTAGGACATTAAAACTGCCCTGGAACAAGAGCAGGCAGGTCCCCTGTCTTAGACCTGGGCTGAGCCTATTCATTGCCAATGGCCAGTTCCAAGCCAAGCCATTGCCCCCATAGACAGAAGAAAGAGTCATACAATGGCGAAGACTGCCAAGCTGGGGCTGGGGCTGGCTGTTAAGCCGGTGCTGGCCCCACCCCCTTAAAGAACCCGGCTGCGAACGCAACAAGCCTCTTGTCTCCTCTCATGGAGGCAAACACAGCTCCCTGCAGGATGCTGTTGGCATCTGCTGGGGAGCCGGACTCTTGCAATGCTACAGGAACTCAGCTCAGCTTGCTTCCTACTGCTGCAGCCTACCAGAAACATTCACAGAAGTTAATGGGACAATCTGCCCACATCTGACCCTCCTGCTCCAGCTGCCTATTACTCATCTAGCTGCAGAAACAACCACACAGATATGACCTTGACTTGGCGACATATTTTGATAGCCCAGGTAAGACAATCAGAATTCCATGTGGCGAGCCTTTAAGGTTGGTCTCTATATGCCAGATCATCTTTCTACATATTGGACAAAGTCCAGCCACTCTCATCAATACCAGAACTGTGGTCCGCTTTGTATGTTAAATGTCTTAAGCATACCTTTAAAAATGTAAGCATATACCAAAAAATCTAAAACATGATGACTGTGACAAAACCTTTTTGGAAAGACATGGGGTGGACTCATCTGGGACCAGTGATTGGCTACACTACAACATCCAGTGGCAAAGTCAAGTTATGGCAAACCCATATTGTATGTGATGATCAAATAGGAGGTGATCTGAAGACCTCTACCAGAGATCATGTGAGTCCCATGGCTGGTTCAAGCATAAAACAGAGGAGGAAATAATTGTTTATGAGCTCTTACAGGACGGTTGGGATAAATATGCGACAGGCAAAATACAGCGGAGTAAGGTTTGCTGTATCAGATAACAAGCAGGTCATACAGAATTGCAAATAAATATTTTGCAATGAAGATTTCAAAAAACACTTCTCTGGTTGGGTTCACGGCTGCGAAAGGGCAGGAAGAAACTATTACGGGAGACCAAGAGTGCCATCCTGAGCAGAATTACACCCTTCTAAGCCCACTGACTAAGAAGGGTGTAGTTCTGCTTAGGTATTGCACTACTTATTTTATACAAGCATATGCATTTCTTTTTGTTTTAATATATGATCTTAACCTACACAAAGTGCGGCCTTTGGGTCATGCAGCAGGAAGGTTTTAGGAGAACAAACAGCTGTTTGAGCAGTTTGACGTTTATTAATTCATCCAGTGAACTTTAGTTCTCACACTGGAAACAAAAGCAAATGTTCAGTATTGGGACATAAAGGCTACTCTCCTACATTTTTCAAAAACTGGGATCACAGAAGAGCTTATTTGTACAAAATAATACATCAATGTATTTATTGCTGTGTTTATGCAGCCAACACTGTATTCTATATTATTCATCAGAATTATTAATATGTTACTAGAAACATATAAAATACACAAGATGCTTTTTATAAGCCTCTGAGACAGTAGCAGTTTTCATTACATTCAAAATTAAATGTTTTATCAAAGTAGATTCCCTTCCCCCTCCCTAGGCAATGTTATTTTTGTAGTTAACAGCTTAGGCTTGCCTGCTGGACACTATCATGGGGTCACATTCACAGCAGCTGTCACTGGACCTCATTGCAAAACACTCTCCAATGACAAACAAAGGGAAATCATCCAGCCAAGAAATAGAACTAGATTGAATTTGATGTTTCAGATGCGACTTTGGTTTTAAATATTTGATATACAGCATTTTTTTTGTTTGATGTAGGGTTTTGTTTGATACCTGGTGACAATGCATAGGGGGTGGTACATAGGGGGCATCGTCAAGTGATGGTGTGATGTCACTTCCACAAGTGACATCACACGTAGTATTTCCATTGATTCCTAAAGCAGAATGACATCACTTACAGGTTTTCATTCAAAGTGACATCATGTCATTGCCCAGTGGCGGATTTTTTCCCTTCATTATTTTTTCCCTGCCAGCCAGAGGAGTGGTGGCAGGAAATTAGAGCCGGGGGAATCTCCCACTCCAGCAGGAAACTAGCAAGCCTGGTTTGATGCCACTGTATAATTTTTATTATAGTAAATACATCAGAGTGCTTTGTAAACAAGATGGGATAAAAGAACTTTAGAGGTAAGGAAAATTATTTATTGAGTCCCTCCCACAAAATGATGCTACCACTATTCACTGAGTACTCAGAAATGTCCATAAGCTTTTTGAATATACAATGTATATAAGAGGAAATATAGACATAATTTTCTACAAAGCATTATCAAACCTGTTTCTAAAGTTATTTCATTTGGCATATGATGAAAAAGATGCCCATGCTGTGCTGTACTGTCAAATGGATTTCATGTGCACTGCCCTCCCTGTCTGTCTGCCCTATCAGACAGTGTATCTCATCTGCAGAAAAAACAGAGATGTATATTGCTCTGTACTGTATGAATAAGTGTGCGAAGCATATCATTCAGGAAAGCCCCCACACTTCCATCATTCTGCAGCATGTGCAAAACTGGGAAAGAATTTAGAACTTTAGTAGAATGGAACAGCCCACGAGGGCACCTTTATAATGAAATAGGATTGTCATCCACTGCTATGGTTATTGTAACGATCACCTGTTTTATTGTGTTATCCTATACCTTGTAATACATTTTCTGTATTGCATATAGTATAACGTCTTAGTTTGCTGTTCACATCGTTCTCTAGTTCTGTAATTCTAACTGAACTGCATTGTTCATTGGTTGTTTTATGCTGTCTGATTGCTCTACTATATACCCAGTAATACACTTTGAGTCTCAGCAAGAAAGCTGGAATATAAACAAAATATATTAATTAATGAACTGGTAGCAGTTTTCCATTTGCTCTGAGAGAGGTCTTTCCCAACCCCACTACTAGAAATCCTTTAGCAGCAGTTGACAAGGATCAAACCTGATACTTTTCTGCATGAAAATTATTTGTTTCACCACTGAACTAAGCCCAGTGTTTAAAGGATTACCTAGATACCATTTTAATACTTGAAAGAAATTTTATTTGTGCCAACTGCAATATTAAATAGAGAAATATGTTAGAAACATTATTTTAACTAATAATTGAAATTCCAAATTACTTGAGATATAGGGTTGCTGGGTCTTTTGTTATAGCAGGAGATCTCCCACTAGCAGCTGCTGCCTCCTACTGCTGCCTGGTAGGCTTTCGGGGGGACAAATAAAGCAAAAATCACAATTATGTCTACTGCATGACATCATTCCCTGTCTACTGCATGACATCATTCCCCAGACATCATGTTGTTCTAGGATTCAGTGGAGTTTTTGCAAAATCCTAGAATGACATATCACTTCTGGGTTCACCCCAGAAATGGCGTCATGCTGTTGACGTGTCAATACCCCCCACTATGTTCCTACCTCCCAAGATGCCAGCCAGTGGCTGACAACCCTATTTGTGAAACATAAGTAGATGTAGAGCAAATAAAAATCAATACAATTTTGTCAGGGCATGCTAATACCTAGATTATCATTTTATAATGGAGTGTATACAAGGGCCAGTCATGTGCAATTAGATGTAAAGCAGATGTGGTAACTTATACAATGTTTAATGTTTATACAAATAAAAGTCACATTCATTTCAAAACAATTGTCTGGATACCCATGGTATCCAGGTATTTAATTTCCACTGTTGCTCACTGGATGACTTTGGGCCAGTCTGTGTGTGGTCATGTGTAAAACAGCTGTTCCGCTGGGCTTTCAGCTGAGGCTTTTTTGCGCTGATTGTTGTTTTTATAATTGTTTTTAAATATTTTTAATTATTTAATTTACATGTTATTGTTGTCATGATTTTTGTGTGACCTTGTAACCTACCCTGAGCCCGTATTCGGGGAGGGTAGGATAGAAATCAAATTAAATAAACAAACAAATAAATAATGTGTTTGGGTTGTGTTGGATGGGCAAAGGGCAAGTTCAGTGAATTTTGCTCAGCATTACTCATTGTCCCTATTTTCCATGCACAAATGCAGCAGATTACAATTACTCTTCGTACACCTTTACCCATGACCCTATCTGTAGTACTTGCTTCCTAATAAACAGGCTTAGGACTGCATGACTTCAATTTATCAGTCTTTACTTGGAAATAAATTTTATTTTGATGGAACTCACTTACAATATGTATGGTTGGGATCACAATGCAAGCCCCAGTGTGGTGTTCTGCCCTAGTATTTTAGCTCTAATTAATGCCACTAGTACAATTTAATTACCATGTCTGTAAACCCTGGGGATTAGCCTATAAAACCTCTTATAAAGGCTAGTCGCTAAACGTACACAACGCTCCCAAGAAACCTTCAGTAAGGTGTTTTTGTATAACTGGGAGGGGTTATAAACATTCCAAGTACAAACTTTGCTTGTCCAGCCTTCATTATTTTGAATAGAAGCTGAGCTCAGTCAACCAATTTAGTGGCAGATTTTTTTTAACACTGGCAGCCACCTTTTGACAAAGTTCCATCTTGTCTTTCACAGACAGAAACAGACTTGAAAAACAAAGGCTATGAATATCTCAGTTGGAAACCTAATCAATATGTAATTAATGCAAACAGTTCTCACAGTTACCTAAATACTGAGTGGCAATGCACTCCTACTTCCACTGATAAAGGTTTATAATTTTATTTGGAAGTATAGCCACATCTGGGGGTAGCAGTCCCATCTGCTCCAGAAGAGATGCCAGCAGTGTACAACCTTGCCCAGGCACTGCTGAGGCAGGCAGTCGCATCTATCACCTGGAGATCAGTTGTAGTCTCAGGAGATTCCCTAGTCGGCACCTGGAGGCTGGCGACCCTACTGCTAACAGAGAGGACTCTTCTCCTCGAATTGGTCTACGTTTTTAAAACTAGTTCCATAAGTTAAGCTCTCTGTATTGCCTCGCCACTTACCTAGAACGGAGGTGGGCAGGAGAAGACATCCGAGCAGCATCCAGCAGCCGACATCCCCCATTACATGGACCATCCTTGATCTGGAATTTCAAAAAAGGGAAAGGAAAGAATCGTTCAGAGGGTAGGAAATTACTCACTCTATCGCTGCCGGTATTCTGCTCCCGGGAATAGCACAGATCGGATTGCCAAGTTGACTTACCTTCATAGCGGGGAGATTCCTGGCTCTGTTGGCAGTATCCCTGTGCGCGCGCTTTGCGTGCGCGCAGCACAACAACGTCACCGGAAGTGACGTCATCACGTGGCTCACGTTGGGGGCGGGGCACCGTGACTCGAGGGGAAACCATAGAGTTTTCCCTCGATTCACAGAGTGTCCCCCCAACAACGTAGCACGGAGATGACATCATAACGCTGGGGACGCCCTCCGGCAGGGGGTGGAGTCCCCCCCGGGGCCCGATCCGCCGGCGGTGGGTAACGGGCCTCCCGGGTGGGAATTTACCCATCCCCAGCGGGGGCTTGGCAAGCCTAGGCACAGATCGGCAGCTGGACTGATGTTCAGCGGCTCTGGATGCAGTTGGAGATTTCACATGTTCCAATTGCTTCCAAAAGAGTTAAACTGCCCGCTAATCGCAAGCTCTTATGAGCCCTGCTGGATCAGGCCAAAGGCTCCATCTGCCTCAAGGGCTTGGCACAGGCTCCAGTGAAGGCCTGCAGGCCCCACTTCCACCCCCTCAGAGTTATGGCTTCAAATTTATGTATTTGTAACACTGATGTTAGTGGAGCTGCGGGGGCTCAAGTGGTTAAGACGCTGAACTGCAGGCTGTGGAAGGTCGGTAGTTCAGCAGTTCGAGACCCGGGTGCCGCGTGACGGAGTGAGCTCCCGTCTCTAGTTCCAGCTCCTGCCAACCGAGCAGTTCGAAAGCAAGAAATTGCAAGTAGATAAATAGGTACCACTTCGGTGGGAAGGGAACAGCGTTCCGTGCGTCTTGGTGTCTAGTCATGCCGGCCACATGACCACGGAAACGTCTTCGGACAGCGCTGGCTCTTCGGCTTTGAAACGGAGATGAGCACCGCAACCCTAGAGTCGGACTCGACTGGCTTTCGAGCAAGGGAACCTTTACCTTTAACACTGATGTATCCCCCTTACGGCTGCCAACTTCAGCTTGGGAAATCCCTGGAGATTTGGGGTAGAGCCTGGGGAGGCTGGGCTTTGGGGAGGGGAAGGCAGCCAGCAGGGTACAGTGCCACGGAGTCCACCTTCCAAAGCAGCCGTTTTCTGCAGGGGAACTGATCTCCGTCATCTAGGGTAGTCAAGCCTCAGCTTCGCTGTGGTGGGGGGTCTCCCGGCTGGGACTGTTCTGCCGTATGCACAAAGCGTGTGCAGCCCGATGATGTCACCAGTACTGACGTCATCATGCTAAGGCCGTTGCACAGCGACACTCTAGCATTCAGGACAAAAACTCTATGGCCACCATAGAGTTTCCCCCCGAATCCTAGAGCATCTCTGCGTGACGGCCCCAGCGTGATGACGTCACTACTGGTGACGCCATTGTGTCAGAAGTGTCCCTGAAGGCTGCTGCTGTTCGGGGGTGGAGCTTCCCCACCAGCCGGCTGGCCAGTGGCGGATTGGGCCCCCTTGAAATTGGGGGATGGCAGCCCTGCTGTCACCTGGAGATCAATTTTTATTCCGGTAGATCTCCAGGCCCCCCTGGAGCACGGTAACAACCCTGCCTTCCTCCTAACACTTAGGACCTCAAGTGGGTGATAATAATAAGTATCAAATTAAACAAAACATAAAACATGTCATTAACACACAGATAAAATGCCCCATTAAAACTCGAAAACCCAAAGTCCCTGAACCAGACGAGAGCATCATTCTACTTTGGGCATCAGATTCCCTCCCCCCCCTCCTCTGGAGAGGCTTTTTATTTTTTGCTGAAACTCAAAAGCCTTTCATGTAAATCGGAGGTTCTCTCTCCAGCGGCAGGTTTCCTCATCAAAGGCCCTGCGGCATCGCTCCCAATCAGGCAGCGGCTGTCACCTGCTGGCAGACGGGCGAGTTCAAAGCCCGGCTCGCCTGGCACTCAGCAACCCCGGAGCGCGGGAGAGGGCCCAGCAGGTGGGCACCTGGCCACTTCTCTTTGAGGGGCTTCCAAAGCAGCCAGATCTCCACGGGAGGGCAGCGCTCGCCCCCAGACTCCAGAGAGGCAAGAGGCCGCCTGTCTTCCTTACAATGACATCTGATTTAGGCTCGGCACCTTTTGTTGAGAAGGGAAGGACTATTTCTGTGGGATCTGATGGATTTGGGCATCGGGCTGCCAACCCCCTGATGGGGGCGGGGTTTCCAATGATTTCGGGGGGGGGCAATCCACAGCAGGGGACATAAGAGAGGTTTATAAAGTCGTGCCTGGTCTTGAGAAAGTGGAGAGGGGTCCTTCTCCCTAGCTCAGAATTCTAGAACTTGGAGCACCCGATGAAGCTGGGGGGGCAATCAATCTGGACATATCAAAGGGAAACAAAACGAAGTACGAACGGCACCACAGCTAATATTCAGTGGGGTTTGTCACACTGAGCATCTTAAAACAACGGTAGGTCTTCGAGGCAGTGGCTCAGTGGAAGAGCATCTGCTTGGCATGCAGAAGGGTCCCTGGTTCAATCCCCTGGCATCTCCAGTTGAAAGGATAAGGAAGAAAGACCTCAGCCTGAGACCCCGGAGAGCCGTTGTCAATCTGATCGACAATACTGGAGAGCCGTTGTCAATCTGATCGACAATACTGGAGAGCCGTTGTCAATCTGAGAGACAATACTGACTTGGACTGATGCTCTGATTCAGTCTGAGAGGACAAACGTAAAGAAAACGGTCGTGAGAGTCTGACCCACAAATCAAGCATTCCCTGAAAGACAAACAGCAAAGCAGGATGTGGAACAGAAACTGATTTTGAGGAAGCAGCCATGATGCTGGCTCAAACTGAAAATATATAACTAATTCAAGAGTCACTTACTGGACAGGGAGAGACTAAAGAGCCACAAGAAAATAATGTAAATAGTCAGATTTTGCAGTTCACACCTGGTAAGATAGGCCAAGTCCAAGGTGTTCCAGATGCAGATAAAGATAATGCCAAACATAGTTGGCAGGAGCTGGAACTAGAGACAGGAGCTCACCCCGTCTTGCAGCACCCGGGTCTTGAACTGCTGAACTACTGACCTTTCACAGCCTGCAGTTCAGCGTCTTAACCACTTGAGCCACCGCAGCTCCATCAGGAAATATTAGAGTAGTGCAAAAGCTCTCTTGCTCATCAAGTGCTTTGCAAAAAATCAGGAAAGATAATAAATTTAGATAGGACGCTGATCTCAATAAGTATTCAAGCTCAAATATGCCGCTAAGCTTCTGATGGATCCCAGAGCTTTTGTACTACTCTAACATTTCCTGAGGAAGATCCAATTTTGAAACGTTGCTATATCATCCGGAGACGACGCTGATGATGTATTTTCACACAAGGATTTTCTTACGATTTGAAGGAAACCCCCATCTTAGCTAAACTCATGAAAACTAAGAGAAGCATAGGAATGCCATATTGGCCTACCCAACATGGAAGCGACGGCAAACGTTAACTTCCAAGCTAGAGAAACAAATAAAAGCAGAACAGCGGTACTGGTGGTATGTCCTGAAGAGAATTATTGCTGTAATATGCACTCTTGTAGAACAAGGCTTACTATTCAGAGGAGACAATGAATACTTTGGCTCATTCAGTATAAAGCAGCTTCACGTGATCGTGTCAAAGGATGTGCCTTTGACCCTGGCGAGCCGCTACCCGTCTGAGTAGACAGTACTGACTTTGACGGGCCAGGGGTCTGATTCAGTACCAGCCAGCTTCACAGGTTCATGTGTTCAATATTCTGGACCATATCTTTAGCTTCAGTGGCCTGGCTCCTAAGTACTGAAGGATCACCTCCACCCACGTTGATCCACCAATGCTCTTGGATGGTGCTCTACTGAGTCCTACGAAAATCGTAATTGAGACATTCATCATATACCAGGCACAACAACAACAATGAAAGTAGGGTTGTTTCCTGTTGCCCCAGAAGGTCGGACCAGAACCAACGGGTTGAAATTAAATCAGAAGAGTTTTTGGCTAAACATTAGGAAGGACTTCCTGACAGAGCGTTCCTCAGTGGAATAGGCTTCCTTGGAAGGAGGTGGGCTCTCCCTTCTTGGGAGGTTTTTAAGCAGAGATCATTAAAAAAACCAATTTGCAAGATTTATTCCATGCACAGGTCACTCTTTAAATCTGGCAGGCCGTTCAACTGTGGATTGCTGCCGACGCAGTGAAGTGTTTTGGCATTATCAACTAAAAGTATACCTTCTTTTCATCCTCCACAGAGAGATGGGCAGTTCTAAAATCATTTGCGTCACCTCAGTCTAAAGTGCCTAAATATTTGTCAAACACTAGGTGGGATGCACATGCAAAAGCCACAGAAGCTGTTTTAGAAAGTTATAGTGCTATCACTAAAGGGGGGGTTGGACTAGATGACCCTGGAGGTCCCTTCCAACTCTATGATTCTAGGGTTGTATAATCCAAAATTAGAGTTAACATCGCTTTATCACAGGGGTCCCCAGCCTCGTGGAATCTGTGGACACTCTTGGAATTTTGAGAAGCGCTAGTAGGCGATGCAACAAAATGGCTTCCAAGGGGAGAGAACAGTCACACGAAGGCTACCATAAGGACTGGATCCCGTCACAAAAGACTGACACAAGGGCAATGTCTCCTGAGTTCTCCAATGACACTGGAAAAGGCCAAACTTGAGGAGGAAACAACTGAGCATCAGAAAATGCACTGGTGGCTGTCATGGTACCCATTGGCACCACATTGGGCATGTCTCAGATATGCACTTTGTCACAGGAGTGCTTAGTTTGGGGGACCCAAGCAAAGGCCACTGGAACTCCTTCCCACTGGAACACCCTCTAGCTCCCTTAGTAGATGATGATGAAGAAGAAGAGATTGGATTTATACCCTGCCCTTCACTACCCAAGGGAGTCTCAGAGCGGCTTACAAACTCCTTTCCCTTCCCCTCCCCACAAGAGACACCCTGTGAGGTGGGTGGGGCTGAGAGAGCTCTGGCAGAAACGGCTCTTTTTTAAGAACAGCTGTGCCAGAACTATGGCTTGCCCAAGGTCATCCAGCAGGTGCAAGTGGAGGAGTGGGGAAT